TGGGGGGCACCTTGCTTTTCCCTGTATCCCCCTTCCCACACTATTTCCCTCTTGGCACTTCCAAACAAAATATCACCGCACAGTTCTTGCTAATCAATATATTTGGCAGTCCAAAATACAGTAAAATCAGTCGAAGACGTTCTGGATGTACAGACTTTTAGAAAACCCTTTATCAAGACTGGTCTTATCATGAAGCCACACCTACAGACTTAACTTCCAGCGCTGAAGCTCCTAATTCTGGCACAGCGTCAATCTCTCTAATGAGGCATTTCAGCTCACTAGAGAGATTGACGCTGTGCCAGAATCAGGAGCTTCAGTGCTGGAAATTAAGTCTGTAGCCGTGGCTACATGATAAGTCCAGTCTTGATAAAGGAGTTTTGAGAAATGTCTATCTGGAATGTCTTCGACTGATTTTACTGTATTTTGGACTGCCAAATACATTGATTAGCAAGAACTGTGTGGTGATATTTTGTCTGGGAGTCAGATGGCTGAATTGAGAGTGTTTACCTTTAAGAATGGCTTGGCAGAGAAACGGTGTGTTATCTCTGATGTTAAATGAATGACCATTAAACAGTAGCAAGCAGCTGGGCTTGGGTGAATCATAGTTGCAAGTTGCCCAGTGGCTGCTGCCAGGCCTAGTCCCAATGAGTATACCCTCAAAGGCCATAGCAGCCTTGGAAAGGGCCCTACTCTCCATGCCTTTTTGGTACTTCTGTCTTGCTTTTCGTTGTGATCCAAGTTCCTGTCCTCTAGAGATCAAAAAGTCCAGTGTGACTGAAAGAAACCAAGGCTTGAAGGATGGCAATACTGTTGTGGTTGCCTAGCAAAGCCCATTGAGGGCATTTGTTTCTTAAAATTTATGAGCACAGCTTCTGTCATTTTGGAGAGTTGTGTATTTTTAACATTTCAGGTTTTTCCTGTCAACCTATGGCTCCTATCTGATTTGTATAAAGATCTGTTTTGTCTGTCCATGACTCCAGTCTCCAGATTGTATGTTGAGAAAGTTGTATTTAAATTCAAAACCAGTTGGGCTAATTACAGCAATTTTTCAAGTAAGCCAAGTAAAGAGACCCACCTAATCCAGTTATTTCAAAATTCCCAGTCCCTTGTTGAAGTCATAGTGTACCAGTTGACTTATCTTTCTCTGCTCCCATTAAAATGCTCTTAACTAATATAGCTTTTACAGCTGGCCTTGACTTATTTTTAAATACTGTGTTTTCTCCAAGCGCAGTCTGGCTAACAACAGGACTGTTAAAATATATCATTGAAAGACTAGGTGATGAAACCCATGATAAAACACACAACAATTTATGCAGTAGTGTGCAGTATAAACAGCCCTCTCTGTATCGTGAAACAGAGCAGACAATAAATTTTTAGATCAAACTAGAGTGCTAATGATATGCCAGAACTAGTCATTACTAAAGCAGGCTAAAGGTGCTATATGATATAGAAGATTCCTGAACTTGAAGAGGCTCCAAACCAGATCACAGTGGGTCTAGATAATCTGTCTCTTTCAGGAAGTTGCTCAGCCACCACCTGTTTCAGCACCTTATCCTAAAAGAGCTATTTTCCACTGCATGGAGGTGATTCGAATTGTTGGGGTCCACAGATGGCTTCTCCAGATTGGGTTTCACAACCACTTGCTGGCACTGACCATTCATTCCTTTAGTGAAGTATTAGGACTGTCAGACAACCCCCTCCTGTAATATGCCAGGGTGGGCAAAGTTTGAACATTGATGTGGCAACCTCTTTCCAAGCAATGTTGATTCCCTCAAATAATGATCACTGAAATTCATACAAGTAACTGTGGCTGGTCTAACCTCTGAAAATATTTAAAGCTCAAAGTGCCAAAAGAGCTTCTCTGCTCATGAAAAATTCATTCATGTATCCATGGTGTATGTGTGTCCCGGTCCGGAGGTTGCAGGACGAACAGACCGGGAACTGGGCCCCCCGACAGACTCCACGAGGCCCCCCACGCACAACTCACCAGGTGGGACGAACGCCAATGGTCCAGGGAGGGAGCTGGGAGCAGTTGCCCACCACCTATCATGCTGCGTTGGCCGGGCCCGGAGACAGGACCGGGGCTCGCGGGATGACACCGCAGAGGAAGAGAAGGGCGGCGGCAGCTTCACCGACGAGCTGAGAATGAGTGCGAAGCAACAGAAATGACTGCAAATCGGCAGTGACTCTGGCGGCCCAGAGGCTGCCAAAGTTGCCGTTGACACTACAGCACTCGCCCCTGAGATGCCCCACCGGCATCCAGGCGGATAAAGGTGGGCAGGGCCGAAGTCGGAGGGTGGATGGGCAGTCCTGGGAGCGGGGCGGGGAGATAAAAGGTAGGGCTGGAGAAGGGGCCGGGGAGGAGGAGTCCGCTGTGAAGCAGAGTGGAGCTGCGACTGAGAGAGACGAAGGATGCCTAAGAGAGAGAGAATTCCGCAGCGCACTGGCAGAGGGACTCACAGGGTGACGTTAACCCTGTCCCCTGCCTTTCTGAGGTCCCTCACTCCTCCCTTTGTGAGAACCGACACTCCTAAGACCGTCTCCTCGGCCAGAGTTGGGCCGCGAGCGCTGACGCCATGGCCACTGGGAGCAACGCTCCAGAGCAGCAGGGGGAGCTTGACATGTGTACATGTGACTATGTATACATTCTGTAAAGTTTGACTGTCAGTGTAGAGCAGGGATGTCAAACATGTGGCCCGTGGGCTGGATCAGGTCCTTGGAGGCCTCAGTGTGGCCCCCAAGGACCTGGCTGTTTCCTGCTTCATTTTCCAGTTTTGTTGTTGCTGCCATGTCACAGTCTGCTGCACCAGTCTCTCTCAATCGCACAGGAGAGATAGATAAGCAAGCATCTCCTGTGCAGTTGAGAGAGCCTGGTAGAGAACTGGCTGAGGCTCCTCCCCCTCCTCCTCCTGGGGGAGGGAACGGCCAGAGCTTGCTTCCTGGGCAGGCTGCAGGAGACAAAGGGAAGCCTTTCTTTCCTTCCACTGACTGAGGCTCATCCCTGATGGGAGGGAGGAAATGAGGGAGAGCTTGCTTTGCTTGGGTTCCTCAATTGCATGGGAGAAATACCAAGCACCTTTAAGACCAACAAAATTTTGTTCAATGTGTGAGCTTTCATGTGCCTTGCTACAGTGTGTGTGTGTTTTGTTGGGCTCTTTATGCCAGGGCTCTCCTGGGTGCAACTGGGATCCCTCCCCCTTTTCGCTGTATTCATGCCCTCATGATCCAGTCTTTCTCAGTAAGAAGGCAATGTGAACTAACAACAAGCCAGTTAGGTGGATTAGGCTGAGAGTGTATGTCCAGACCAAGTTCATCTAGTACATTTCCTTTGTAGGAAGTTATAGTTATTTCTCTGGGGAAGACTATAGTTTTATAGACAAACACATGGCCCTCAGTCTGTGTCAGGATGCCTTCTCACGTTCTTGACCAGCACAAGAAGCAACTTATGTACAAAAGGTTGCAGTGCCCAGCCATTTCATATTTTCCCCTGGGTCCTAGGCTCAGAATACTGAGCATGAGATTTCTGTAATGAATGTCAATAAATCAAAAGTAGGTTTGCAGCTTACAGATACATACCTGAGCAGCATACTCAAGATTGCTACAGCACAGAGATTTTGATGCAATAATTCAGAGCAAGAGGTGTCAGTCATCAGAGACTGTTAAATAGAGAAAATATTGCAAGAGTGCTAGTGTTTTAAGCATATTTTATTTAAAGTTTTAAAAAAATCTTTAGTTGTGTTTATCTGTGTCCTTTATAAAGTTTATATCTCTGCTACCTGGCGTTACATTTTATGACACACATGGCCCGGCCCAACACGGTCTCATTTATGTCAAATCTGGCCCTCATAACAAATTAGTTCTACACCCCTGGTGTAGAGTATATTTCCTATAAGGTACTGTTTCCAAGCTCAACATAGAAACAAAATAGCTCTCAGTTGGCTCTTTAATTGTTGTTGTTCTCAAATCCACAAGGTATTTCATGCTTTCTCAGGAGGGTGTTTTTATTCTTGCCTGTATATCATCCTAGCCCTGAGTGGGATAGCCCAGGCTAGCCCCATCTCATCAGAGCTTGGAAGCTAAGCAGGGTCAGCCCTGGTCAGTATTCGGATGGGAGACCATCCGAGAAATATCAGTGTCATCTACGCAAGTGGCAAACCACCTCTGAACATCTCTTGCCTTAAAAAACCTACAGGGTTGCCATAAGTCAGCTACGACTTGATGGCAAAAATAACAACAGCAACATCCTAATACTGTCAGGCTCGAATCGCCTTTTAAAAGTGAAGTTGTTCTCTTTATAAGTGGTCTACTATGATTTCTTGTTTGCAGAAAATGTGTGCCTGGTTTACACGTGAATGAAATGATAGAATCTGTTATACCGCTCCAAATTGCCAGAGAACAGAGTGTGGGGAGGGACAGTAGTCACATTGGCTTTTTTTCTTTATGTATGTATTTCTACGTGTTTTTAGTCAAACTCTATTAAAAATTAATTTTAAACATATAGCCAGGAGCTAAAATATCAAAAGCATTATAAAATAACCCGCTAATATATAAGATAAGCAGCCAAGATATGTAATACATTTTCCAACATTTCCCTCCTTTTTTTACTAAAAGAAATCCCTTACTAGAAGAACAGGAAATAAGTATTTCTCCTCTTGTAATCAAATAATACAGTTAAGTTGAACACTTCAGGATTTTACCACCATCTTTGGCTGGATTTTCTCTTTGTTTTGTAAAAGAGGAAAGTGATTTAACTTTTTTTTGCTAGTCTGTCTTTCTCCCCTCCCCAATTTTCTGACAATATCTTGCTGCCTTCCTCAGTATACTTGTTTTTGGTCAGTAGCTACCGTAACATTTTGTAACTTAATTATACTGCCTTTTCCTAGTTAGCGGCATTGGGAACCTCAGTACATTGTACACACAGTTGCATGGGGTGGGGTGGAGCAGAATAGCACTTTTGGAAATATTCTCTAAACTGGTTTTTTTGTTCCTTCTCCCCTCAGGATTTACAGATAGAGCGAGAAAGGACTGTGTACAATATATCTGGAGGTTGCACGGCCCTTGTTGTGGTGTATTTATTAGGAAAGCTCTACGTGGCAAATGCTGGTGATAGCAGGTAAGCCAAATTGTTGTTACCCGCCCTGAGCCCGCTTGTGGGGAGGGCAGGATATAAATCAAACACATAAAATAAATAAACAAATACGTTAATGGGCTGCTCCACTTAGACCTTACTAAGGAAAAACCATTCTGATCATGTGTGTGTTCTTTTTAAAAGCAATTGCAATGATAACATATTTGTCAAGATTAATGGTTGTATCAAAATTTGAATGGATCTCACAAATTTCTTTCATGATGTTCCAAAGGGTCTCCTGTCGCTCATGAACAGTATTTCAGAGGGCATTTTGGGATGTACTGGGAGGTGCAATAGTTGTGCTCCAGAAATCCTTCAGTCAGCAGAAATTATTTCTCTCTGCAATGTAAAATGTGTTGATTGATCTCTATTGGAAAATGTTCAGTGTGGCCATAATCTGGAGGACATACGGACAGCAGGGAGTCTCCCTTTCTCAAACAGCAGGGTTCCCCCCCCCACACTTCTGCACCATACCTCAAATTGTATTTAAATCACTACGTTGTATAGAGAGCTTTGCTTGACCCATTTAAAAAGGGTATGAAAGATGGTACTCTCGGAGGTGTTCCCACTAAGGTCAGTTGGCAGGTTTGGCTGAGTTTTGAATAAGGCAATCCTATAGATAGAGATTTGGCAGTGAAGATGAGAGCTTTAAAAAAAAAAAAGGAAATATATATAATATAATAAAATGGGGAGGTGGCTTGACAGAACCTGTTTTATTCTCAGATTGGTTAGTTTGCTCACTCTTGATACCTGACATAGAGCAACTTCGTGGGTTCATGTGTAATACCGAATTACTTGGCATACGTTACTCTCCCCTAAGAGAGGGTGGATATACTCATCAGGGTGTGTGTTTTAATTAAATGTATAAATCTCAAGGTCAAAGCATTGATTTCCGATCATTTGAAAAGTGCACCAACCTCAGCAATATTCCCAAAGTTACCTTAATGCACCACTATTGTTAATGCACCACTATTGTTTAGCATTCTGGTAATCTTTCAGTAGTGCATTGCATGTTGTATTTTAAAGTATGTGAAATGTACTGATTGGCATAGAATATGTTGCCAGTCAGTGGATCGCACACACACACAAATTCTGCACTATTGTCATTATAGTAGGAGATTTACAGCTCTATTCTAATAGCTACCAAAGAGCTGCTGCCAGAGATTTGAGTAGTCCTTTTGAATTGATGTATGAAATTCAGTCCTCCTTGCCTGTCCTTACTGGCCACTTACAGTGCAGAAGAACATAAGAAAAGCCCTGCTGGATCAGACCAGTAGGCCCGTCTAGTCCAGCATCCTTTCTCTCATACATTGGCCAGCCAGTTACCCTTTATCACCAGCAATGGCATAAAGGCTGAGTCCTTCCCCAATGTTTCCTCCTGTAACTGATATTCAGAGGCTTACTGTCTCTGAATGTGCAATCCTGTGCAGAATTACTCCTGCCTAAGCCCTTTGATATCAGTGGGTTTCGTTAGGCTGAGGTAGTTCTGCATGACATTGCATTAATAGTCTTGTAAGCCTTCTCTATTTGTGTGTTTTCCTTGGTCCATTATTTTCATATTATTGGCAAATCTTGTTGCTTCAATTTGGGGTCTTCATCTTTTATATAGGTAGAGTATCTATGAAAATTCTGGAGCAGTTCCACTGGTATTTGGAAGGAAAGCTTTCTGAACAGTGTTTCATATAGCATTTAAAACATTTATTTCATATCATTCCTCAAATAGATCTTGAAGTATAATTGAAAATGCATATAAAACTGTTAAAACACTGGATAGCCCCCAACCCCCTGTGGGCATTCTGGCTTCATAATTGATTTTTAAACAATAATTATATATAATCCCCTTTTAAAACCCTCTGTTTTTATGTGGTTCACCTTTACAAGCAAGTGAAACAAAGAATCAAAGGCAGAATATCTTAAAATATGTCCTCAGGTTTGGTTCACACAAAGAAATTGTGGTTATTTTTCCTCTCCATTGTGTTCTCTGGTTATATAACCACATGGGGAAATGTTTGTATAAACTGGCTTTGTTGATGGAGACAGCTGCATCTATTTTCATTAGTGCAACTACCTTTTTTCCAAAGTGTTCCAGTTAAGTAAGTTGACCTGTCCTCATGTAGGCATCAGATTTCACATGACACTTTCCTCATACAATTGTGTACCAGAGTGTAATACAACCACTCAATGAAGTAAGTACACCTTCTTCTTGCATTAAGTAGTCCTGAATGTCTGTATTTTTAGTATGGCAAATCTAAGAAGTTATCCCAATAGCTTTCTTAACCCATAAGAACAATTAGTAATATTTTATATACAGCTGTTGTATTTGCTGTAAACCAGTCCATAAATACAGGGCAAATACCTGTTCCCATACATTTTTTTTTCTTGGGCTCTTGTTTCTATAGAAAATGAGTGGTTTTCTGAATAAATAACCCCAGGTTAAATCTCCAATGTCCTGACTATGCTTAGTTGGGAATAGTTGACAAAAAATGGAGTGGCTTGTTTAGGCTCTTATAAGGCTGACAAAACCTGTCTTATTCTCAGACTGGTTTGACTGTTCTCTCCTGGCATCTGACATACAGGTACCTGGTTTGTTTATACATAATCAAATTTGAATCCATGGACGTGTGCCAGACATGTATATTTAGATGGCATAGTAAACAAATAGGGGGGAAATCTATACTTGTAGCCTTCAGAGCGTCTTTCCCCCCTCCTTTGGCTGTTTTCTGACATACCTAATCAAAATCTACTTGCTTGGGTCCCTTGCTTTATTCTGTCTTATAGTAAAACCTGACCTTATTGTTTCTGTCAGCCTAATCTTTCTTTCTCTCATTTCCATTGACAGACTTCAGATCACACTTCAGACAAGCCAGTTACTTCCACTTCACCTCCACAGAATACACAGTGTTCCGTGCCTTTTGACAAAATGGGCACAGGTTCCTTGTGCCTTAAAATTCATAACATGCTGTCAAAGAGAGTTTTCCAAGTGATTTCTCTTTGTCACTTCTGACCAGTTTTTCTATAGCTTCCATTGTCAAAATGTACAGTTCAGTGTTGTGTTTCAGTTAATTTCTGGTTGAAAAGATCCGTAATAGTATTAGGGCATTCTGTGAATACTCTAATAGTTGGAGATGGTGGTTGTTGTTTTGAGCACTAAAATGGCAATTGACGTTCAACAGAAGTAAAATTGCACTTGTGACTTTATGCAGTGGAGTATTGTTTTCATTTTGTGGCTTGACCGGTTGTAACCATCATGCCATTTCTGCCTCCTTTTTGAAAAGAGAGGCCAATAATATGCAACAATTAGACATAAAGTCATACATGCACAAAAGGTTAATGTGTTTTTTCAAAAGAACATGTGGGTGTTTCCATAACAACCTTGATACTCCTTAAATTAGTACTTTCAGTGTATCTGCCAGAGTCATTCCTTGTGGCAAAATGTTAGCGGGGTAGATTTGGCTTTGTTGTTGTTGTTCAGTCGCACAGTCGAGTCCGACTCTTCGCGACCCCATGGACGAACTCTCGCCAGGCCTTCCGGTCCTCCGCCGTCCTCTGAAGTCGGCTCAACCCCATGCTCGTTGCATCGATGACACTGTCTAACCATCTCATCCTTTGCCGTCCACGTCTTCTTTGACCTTCAATCTTTCCCAGCATCAGGGTCTTTTCCAGTGAGTGCTCCCTTCTCATTTGGTGTCCAAAGTATTTGAGCTTCAGTTTCATTATCTGGCCTTCCAGGGAACAGTCAGGGTTGATTTCTTTGAGGATTGACTGATTTGTTCTTCTTGCAGTCCAAGGGACTCTCAAGAGTCTCCTCCAGCACCATAGTTCAAAAGCATCTATTCTTCGGCGCTCGGCCTTCCTTATAGTCCAGCTCTCGCAGCCATACATGACTACTGGGAATACGATTGCTTTGACCATGCGGACTTTTGTTGGCAGGGTGATGTCTCTACTTTTTATCATGCTGTTTAGGTTCGCCATCGCTTTCCTCCCAAGGAGCAGGCGTCTTTTAATTTCATGGCTGCAGTCACAGTCTGCGGTGATCTGGGATCCCAGGAACGTGAAGTCTGTCACTACTTCCACGGCTTCCCCTTCTATTTGCCAAGGAGTGATGGGGCCGGATGCCATGATCTTAGTTTTTTTGATGTTGAGCTTCAAGCCCACTTTTGCGCTCTCCTCTTTTACTCTGAACAAGAGGCTCTTTAGATCCTCTTCACTTTCAGCCATTAGAGTGGTATCATCTGCATATCTGAGGTTGTTGATCTTTTCCCCAGCAATCTTAATTCCCGCTTGTGATTCATCCAGGCCAGCATTTCGCATGATGTACTCTGCATATATATTAAATAAGCAAGGTGACAATATACATCCTTGTCGTACTCCTTTTCCTATGCTGAACCAATCAGTTGTTCCATATCCGGTTCTAACTGTCGCTTCTTGGCCCTTATACAGGTTTCTCAAGAGACATGTGAGGTGGTCTGGTACTCCCATCTCTTTAAGGACCTGCCATAGTTTGTTGTGATCCACACAGTCAAAGGCTTTAGCATAGTCAATGAAGCAGAAGTAGATATTTTTCTGGTACTCTCTTGCTTTCTCCATAATCCAGCGAATGTTGGCAATATGATCTCTCGTTCCTCTACCTCTTCGAAACCCAGCTTGTACTTCTGGTAGTTCTCTATCCACGTACTGTTGAAGCCTAGCTTGTAGGATCTTGAGCATGACCTTGCTAGCGTGTGATATGAGTGCAATTGTGCGATAGTTTGAACATTCCTTGGCATTGCCCTTCTTTGGGATTGGAATGTATACTGATCTTTTCCAATCCTGTGGCCACTGTTGCGTTTTCCAAATTTGCTGGCAAATGGAGTGCAGAACTTTAACAGCATCATCTTCTAAGACTTTGAATAGCTCAGCTGGAATACCATCACCTCCACTAGCTTTGTTGTTAGTAATGCTTTCTAAGGCCCATTTAACTTCACATTCCAGGATGTCTGGCTCAA